ACAGACCTGTTATGCACTAAATCTCTTGTGATAAAACCAAGACCAAACCAGTTAGTGCAATGGACAGCTCAATGTCAAAGTGCGTTTGAACAGTTAAAATATCTTTTCACCAGAGAACCGGTACTTAAACACCCTGATCTGTCTCGTGAATTCATCGTTCAAGCCGATGCTAGTGACGTTGCTGTGGGAGCTGTGTTGCTGCAAAAAGATGAACAGGACAGGATAAGCCCTTGTGCTTATACCTTACGCAAATTAAACACCACAGAGCGAGGGTGGGCGATTTGGGAAAAGGAGGCCTTCGCTGTCCATTGGGCTCTACTTACGTGGCGTCACATCCTGGAAGGGGCTACTATCCCGTTTGAGGTATGGACAGACCATAAAAATTTAGAGGCATTACAAACGCCTAGATGTCTGTCCCCAAAGCAACTACGCTGGGCACAATATTTTCGAAGATTCAATTTCAGAAGATTCAATTTCTTTCCTGCTGTGCCAGCAGGAAAGAACTTCCTCACCGATGCACTTTCTCGTATGCCACAATATAACAGTAAGCGCGAGGAAGTAGTGGAATCTCTTATACCACCTATTGAGAGTGGGCATGCGGTTGCGGCAGTGTTACGGAAAGAAGCGTCTTTCTTAACGAATCTTCGGATAGCTGTCAGCCAGGATACATGGGTAAATCAAAACCAAACGTCAGTAATCCTACGAGATGGATTAGGGTGGAATGGGGATTGTTTATACATTCCAGAACCGCTTCGAGCTACAGTTTTAAGACGGTGCCATGATGCCAAACCAGCAGGTCACTACGGTTTCCTTAAAACACTTCACCTGATTAGACGTCAATTTTGATGGCCACGAATGCGTGGTGAAATTGAACGTTACGTAAAAACGTGCCCAACATGCGCGGCAGCAAAACCATGGTCAGGGAAACCACTCAGTCGATTACAATCGGTGGCTGATCCTAGTCGTCCGTGGGAGGAGGTGGCGATGGATTTTATAGTGGACCTTCCACCCAGCAATGGACATACCGTTATTTGGACAGTAGTAGACCTATTTTCAAAGCAGGCGCATTTTATACCCTGTCGGGGTTTACCATCTGCCCGATGATTGACAGACATGTTTATACAACATATCTACCACCTTCACGGGGTCCCGAAACGTATTATATCAGATCGGGGCATCCAGTTCACCGCCCAGTTTTGGAGGTCTTTCGTTCATAGGATAGGGTCTACTCAAGGATTAAGTTCAGTCTTCCATCCCAGTACAAATGGAGCAGCCGAACGAGCTAATGCCGCTGTGGAACAATATCTACGTTGCTACGTTTCGTATCAGCAAACTGATTGGTCTGCCTTACTCCCGTTCGCTGAAGTCGCATACAACAATATCAGCCACCATAGCACAGGATTTTCTCCTTTCCAAATCATCTATGGAAGAGAATTCCCTGCCATACCTGAGGTAGAACCTCCAGCTACAGGGGTATCTACGCATTCCGGTTGGGCCGACAAGATCCGACAAACGTGGCCAGCGGTAAAAACGGCGCTTCAAAAAGCAGCAAATGAATACAAACTTTATGTTGATAAAAAAAGAGCTGACCCAAAACCGTTTTCTGTAGGGGATCACGTGTATCTATCTACAAAATACTTGAAATTACGATTACCTAGTAGGAAACTAGGTCCCAAATACATAGGTCCGTTTCCTATAACACGTGTGATCAACCCTGTCACAGTCATGCTTAAGCTACCTTCACTGTTAGAAAAAATACATCCTGTTTTTCATAGCAGCCTCCTTAAACCTGTCAAAGAGGAAAGGCCCACACATCAGCCTGTTTCCCCGGGACCGAGTCATTCAGATCAATATGAGATAGATAAAGTATTGGATTCACGTCTACGTAGAGGCAGGTTACAGTACTTAGTATGGTGGAAGGGTTATCCACTAGCACAAGCATCTTGGGTGGCAGCTCCAGACGTTCATGCCAACCAGTTGCTCCGTCGGTATCATCGTAAATATCCAAATAAACCAGGTCCCAGTGGGTAGAACGGTTGCTATGCTAACATCTTTATTTTATTCCTGCAGGTGGACTCCTGGTAGAGAGGAGCCGCCTGTCGAGCCTCGGTTGGGTCTCACCATCACTGGGGAGGACGACGACGAGGGGGCAAGCTGCTGGACTCTCCGGGGGCGTGTCATCAGCTGTTTGAGAAGTCTTTACCACTCGTGCACAAAACGAAGCAAACTCTTTCATCGGAGATGGGGGGGCATGGAGTTTGCAGATGACGCTGCCTTGTGTTGTAAAGCGCTCCTCCTACAGGCCAGCTAGGGGAAGGAGGGATGATGTTGACTGTTTGATTGCTAATTGATTTATTGTGCTCCTCCTACAGGCCTGCTAGAGGAAGGAGGGGTGATGTTAATTGTTTAATTGCTAATTGATTTATTGTGCTCCTTCTACAGACCTGCTAGAGGAAGGAGGAGTGATGTTAACTGTTTAATTGCCACTTGATTTATTGCTGCGTATATAAAAGGCGCTACACTGCAATTGTGTGTAGCGCTAACTTTAAACCTTGTTTCCGGCTTGTGCCTTTCTCCTGCCTGTGTTTGCTGTGCTGAACCTAATTAAAGGATTGCAACTGCCTTATTCCATTCTGGTGTTGGCTTGTTTCCAGTGCAGTTGGGTGGACTGGCCGAGAATGGAATTTCAACAGTCTCCCTGTTCCTAAGGGCAGTCTCCTTCCCACGCCGACCTGGTTTTGCAGAGTTCTCCCCCAGTGAGTGGTTCCGGGCAGGTGTTTGTGAACGACACTCTGCAGCTCGGTGCCCCTCTTTTCCACACTTGAAATAGGCTGAAGATCTCGGAGAGAATGCAGTTTGTGGTCTGAGGGGTTCTTGCTTCCATTGGGGTGGGGATTTCTTCCATGCTCGCCCCGCTCGATACTGGTTTCTGGCCATATTGATCTCAGCTTCTTCGGCGGTGACATACCATTCATTATGGTAGGTCATTCGGTGACCTCGGGCCACGCAGGCATTGCATAGATCATCACTCAGCCCGTCCTTGAAACAGCTCACCAAAATATCTTCTGGCCAGTGCACACAACACGCGAGGTCCCGGAATTCTTCAATATACTCTGCTACTGGCCGTCGCCCCTGCTTCACCATCTTAATGCAGTCGCGTGCTTTACGATCCGCTAGTGGGTCCTCAAACTGACATCACAGGGCCATCATAAAACGGTTGAAATCCCGCAGTTCTGGTGCATTGGCGTTATGCAGGGTCACCATCCATCTGGCAGCGGCACCCTGTCACAACTCGCACTCAGGAGCCTTGGGTTTGGAAATCACGCCCGTACTCTTGCATGTAGGTAAGCACGTATGCCACAAAGAATCCTAATTGCTGCGGATTCCCATCAAACTTTACCCCAAGTTTTTCTTTCCAGTTGCGGGACTTGAGGCTGGTTGGGAATGGGCGTCGGTGTGTGTGCAGCCTGAGGGGGAGGGGTTGCTGGGTCTTTTCCTGCTGCTGTGGCACCATCTGCTCGATAGGCAGGCTCCAGGAGGGGGGTGCCTCCCGTGGCATCATCCGCGACTGCTGCCCTTTCCACGCCCTTTGCTCTTTGGATGTTGTCCTGGCTCTTCGGATGTTGAGGTTTTCCAAAGTTTCCATCACCAATTGGCTTATATGCCTCTTCAGATAAGAAGTGGTGCTTCGGTCATCCCCCCCCGGTCAGCAAGGGCTTCTAGTTCCAGTTTCCACCCCGGTTTTCGGTTGCCAAGGCTGAGGGTGACTCCTCTGGATCTCTCATCCCAGCTATCTTTCTTCCCGATGCCAATTGACCAGCAGGGCTTTTCAGGATTCTCCAGGATTACCTCATCCTCTCCGATGGGGTGTATGAAACAGGCATCCAACTGGGTGGTGGTTGCTGTCTCCCCCCAGCAATCGGTTTCTCTCAGTTCTCTGCTTCGTTCAGACATGATTTGCAGGGTCCCCTCAGTAGAGCGAAGATTGCTTCTCTGGGTTGACTGTTTTGCAGATCTTGCTTTCTTTCAGTAGGATTAAAGTGGTAGAGACCCCTCCCTTTAAGTCAGAATGCAGATTTTAGCCAATACACAAATGTGAAGATGTTTTCTTTACTAGTTTCTCTGAGAACCCGAACACACATGCATTCCCACCATTATCCTTTAAAGTGAAACAACCCACATGGCTATCATAAAAATTCCTGCAGGTAAAGGGGATCTCAGGGCTCTTTGGTGCCAGGATATAGGTTGTAAAATATCTGTTGACATAGGCAATGCTAGTGAATCGAATCCAAGTGTCCCCCTCCTCCGATTGAATGGCAGTATCACTTTTAGGGATCTGACAATAGGTCAGCTGGTCCTGAAAGATTTTTCAAAATTATGCTTAAGGGTTCTGCTATAGCAGTGGAAAGCTTTTTTAAGAAGTATGCACATAGTCCATCAGGTCCAATAGATAGAGATGGTTTTAGTCTGCGTTTTCAACGTTATCTTCTGTGAAATCTATTTGTGTTAGATCGTTGTAGTTATTAGTGGTATGACTAGGAAATGTTGGGCATGAGCCATTGCTGTTTACAAAGACTGAGCCGAAGAATGTGTTAAAGAGGTTTGCTTTAACTGCTTCATCATTGCATTCTTTACTGTTAGGTCCTTTTAGGGGAGGAATGGATCTCGAGCAGTGGTGGGTTCCTCCCGGGGGCAATTCATTCCAGAGGGCAGGTGCCCCCACAGAGAAGGGTCTGCCCCTGGGGGTCGCCAGTCGACATTGTTTGACTGACGGCACTCTGAGGAGTCCCTCTCTGTGGGAGCATATTGGCCGGTGGCAGAAGGCGATCTCATAAGTGTGCCGGGAGCAGTCTCAGCAAGCTGTTTCATGCACTGAAAGCCTGGCTATGGTGAGCTCTGACAGGGAGGGGCACACGGGACCCAGGGCTGCTCAGGAGCATGGAACATGAATCCTGCAAGGAGAGAGACTCTTGACATCCTATGGCTGTCTCTTCTTTCAGCTGGTGCCATCTTCTCTGTCATGGTGGAGATTTTCCGTCCTGATGCACGACCATCCGCCCTTGCCGTGGCTGGCTCGTTCAGCTGGTTGGGCCTCTTTATCACCGGCATAGGCTTTCCCTTTGTGGTGGTAAGTTGGACTGAAGGCCATGAGTCCACAGGGAAGGAGAAATTAATTAAAATAATAACATGAATCATGTATGTATCTTGTATGTATCATGTATGTATCATGTATCTTGCTGATTGATTTTAAAGCTGATTTCCAATGAACCATTTCAAAACATTCTTATTACCGTATTTTTTGAAGTATAAGATGCACCTTAGTTTTTGGGGAGGAAAATAAGAAAAAAGCTGATTGGCAGATGGATCGGCCTCCCGGAATACCCCCTATCAACTGTTCCCAGAGGTGAATTTTAGCAACAGGTTCCTTGGTTGTGAGCTCTGTGCCTTGATTTTTTTTACTTTTTTTTCTGCCTCTGAAACTTCTGAAACTCCATTTCAAAAAAAAATTTCTTTTCTTGCCTCTGAAAGCCTCTGAAACAGAGCTTCAGAAAAAAAGCCTCTGAAGCTCTGTTTGAGGGCTTTTCTGAAGCTTCGTTTCTGATGCTTTTTTCAGCCTCTGAAACCTCCGTTTGAGAAGCTGGGCTTATACATTCGGAGTATAAGATGCACCCAGATTTTCACCCTCTTTTTTTGGGGAAAAAGGTGTGTCTTATACTCTGAAAATACGGTATTCTTAATTTCAGAGAAATGTGTTCACTTTAAAGAATATCATTTGGATTTGCTTCTACTGTACTTCAAGAGTCTTAAAAAGAGCAGCTCAATAGAGCATTTTTTACTGTTTCTTTCAATCATTTCCAAAGAGGGTTCCCTACCCACCCTTCTTCTTTGCCCAAATGAAGACTCTGGTCTTCCTTTCCTTCTTTCCCATTTTGACTTTCGAGCTCCAAAGCACTTTAGAGAGCATCATTCAAATGGGACCTGACTGACCAGCAGTTAAGCCAGTCAAACACCCTCAGCCTAACCTTCTTCACAGAGTGTGGCTCTAGAGATAAAGTAAAACTGCTTGGAGCTGCTGGAGAAAGAGCATGAAAGAAACCTTTTAAAATCAATCAATAATTAATAAGGAGAACATAAGATTTTGAGACCCAAAGTGTACAAAAAGGCAGGATAAAAATCTAATCATTGTCATCACCACCTGCACTGGTGGCAGCAGCAGCAGCTGGCACCCATGGGAAGATTTGCCTCAGGGAGGCTGCACCCCACTTTGACTACTTTAAGTGGCTCTTCAACTACTATTCTGTGGGGAGAAGCAAGTGAGGGTGCTCAAAGAATTTGCACTAAAATACTTGCTTCCCTGAGACATGAGGAAGTGAAAGCTGGGGTGATACTGTCACCCAAGGAGTAATCATTCCCCTGGATTAAAGAATTGACAGCCGAAAACCCCAGAAGAATTTGACTTTCTCCCTCTGCCTCTTTCCTCTGCCTGCTTCCCTGTTCTGCTTTGTTGCTTGGAGGAAGGTTGAAAATGTCTTTAATGCTTCCTTCAGCTACCAGGTTCCTGCAAGGGTGAAATTAAAATTTTTTCCCTACCAGTTCTGTAGGTGTGACTTGGTGGGCGTGGCCAACTCAACATCACTCACGTCGAGGGGGGCCTCACCTGGCCCCTCCCATCCCAGCCACTCCTTGTCGCAAATAGCAGGAAAATGGGGAGGGGAATTATCCTGCCTACCATCCTTCCCATGAAAACGGCTCCATTCTAAGCCTTCAGCGTTGCAATCCTGGGATACGCTGAAGGTTCAGAATGGAGCCTTTTTCGCGAAAGGTAGGAAAATGGGGAGGGGGATTTTCCTGCCTGTCATCCATTCCTCAAGCTGAGCATGGACTGAATGGTAGGCAGGAAAATCTCCCTCCCCATTTTCCTGCCGTTCGTGAAAAAAGCTGCATTCCAACCCTTCAGCATTGCAATCCTGGGATACGCTGAAGGCTCGGAATGCCTCTGCTTCAGCGCAGAATGACTTTTGCCTGTCTCTTTCTGGTCATGGCGCCTCTGCCGGTTGGGCCACTTCCTGAAGCTGGCAGCTGCTTTGCTTTTTCCCTCTTTTTCCTCATGGGAGGCTTGCATGATGGCCCTAGCAGAAGGTGGAGGCAGAGGCGATCCCAATGCACCAGCCCCTTAGTCCCACTGTCTCTTGGCTTGCCTGCAGCTGCACCAAACAAGCACTAACACAGGGTGTCTGGATTGCCTGCCTCCCCCATGCCGGTGCCGGAGCCGGAGCCGCTGTGCAAGCCTCCCATGAGCCTCCCAAAAAGAGGGAAAAAGCAAAGCAGCCGGCCACAGAGCTTTTTTTTTTTTTTTTAATTTGATTTATATGCCGCCCTTCTCCGAAGACTCAGGGCGGCTTACAATGTGCACAGCAATAGCCTTCATCCTTTTGTATATTTATACAAAGTCAGCTTATTGCCCCCACAAACTGGGTCCTCATTTCACCTACCTTAGAAAGGATGGAAGGCTGAGTCAACCTTGAGCCTTGGTGAGATTCGAACCCTGCAGTAATTGCAGGCAGCTGGTCTTAATAAGCTTAATAACAGGGTGCCTTAAACCCCTGTACTACCAAGGGAGGGAAGCGGCCCAACAAGCAGAAGTGCTGTGCCCAGAAAGAGAAGGGCAAAAGTGGTATTTGCGCTGCCCCAAGGGGCCAGCAGGCTGCAGAAGCGAAGGTGACCCGGGGAGGGGGGGGCATAGATGCTCTGGGAGGGAGGGCGGATGTCCCGGGGCTGCAAATGAGGTACTGCCGCCGCTGCCCCTCTCGGACCCAGCACAGCGGCTGTGGCTCCCCCAAGGGCTGGCCGCCCACCCGCTGGGTGGGTCTGCCCGGAAGCGAGGCGTCTCCCATCAAGGGCTGGATGTGGGACCGGATCGCGGAAGGCAAGCGGACATGGGGGATCTCCGGGAAGGCTGCGTGGAAGGCAGGCAAGCATGGCAAGGCCGCGGGGAAGGGAGTAGGTTGCTAGCTCCTTTCCCTGCGGCGGGGTGGCCCCAACATACTTGGTTGCCTGCCTTCCACGGGGCCTTCCTGGTGGTCCCCGTGGCCAGCTTGCGAAGGCAAGCGGGTGGGGGTGGGCCAACCAGGGGTGGTTTTTACCGGTTCAGCGAACCATTTAAAATCGCAGCTACCAGTATGCATGATTCAGTCCAAACCGGTCGAATTTCACCCCTTCCAGAAAGGACCTGTGCTGCTCCTGACTTTCAGCTACACATCCATCCATGTCCAGGCCTTTCTGAGCTCTCTTGAATTGGTCCAACCTCTTTTTAGTTTGAGCCACTGAGTACTTTGTCCACTCATTCTTGATGGGTAAAAAGGACTTTCTTGTTGTCCAACTCACCCGTTGTCCATCAGATTCACTCAGTGACTTGGATTTAATTAGGTTTTCAATTCTCCAGTGTTTTCCCCTTCAGCCCCAAACAACTATGCAGGGGAGATTGTGGTTCTGGGAAGGGAGCCTTTCTTGAGAAAACCAGAAAGTGTCTTGATTTCATTCAGAAAGTCCAGAGTGAACTGAGGTTAGACAGTGAATCTGTCACCTTTACCCATGGGAAATTCTTACCCTTCCTAGAGTCCAGGAAGACCTCAGTTGCACCTCAGTCTCCTCTCTAAACCTCAGCCAAGAAACTCATCCTTACTTCTGATTTTCTGTCCTTAGGAGGCCCTTGGCCACTACTGCTTCCTCATCTTCTTCGGTGTGCTCATTGGAATGGGACTTTTCACCTACCTCTTCATTCCAGAGACAAAGGGGAGGTCCATCCTAGACATCACAGAAGACCTCAACAGGATCCCTCTGGGGAAGAGGAGCACATTACCTGCTCTGGAAAGAAGCTCTGCCCCCAGGAGCCACAGCCTTTGCACCAAGTTATGACCACAGCCCTGAAAGCTCTGCAAAAACAGGCTTTGATGCCTAAGCCAAAGAGATGAGGGAGGAGAGGGGCAGGTGCAGAGAGGAGAGGTGCTCTTGATGGATCAGGGCAGCCAGGGAAAAGGCCTCATGCGCTTCCCTCCTTCCATTGGAGCCGGAAAGCCAAGATTCTTTGTCAGGCGTGACAGGCACAGCTCTGGGGACTATGAAGCTTCTGGGGTCTACCACAAAAGTCAACTAAAAAAAAAAACCCTAATATCACAATGTGTGTATCCTAAAATTATATATATTTAAAATATTTGATTATATTTATATTTGCTGCAATGGGCCAGAGTGGATGGGATTATTTTGACTCAATAGATTAATTCTGACCAAGCCTTGGTGGGATGGAGGCACTTAGCTCACCTCCCACAGATGTTGATTCTGTCTTTACAGCCTACATGAATCTGGGTGCAGGACTAAGCAAAGAAAATTAGATATATAATTCATATTGAAGAAATGAAGAAAAACAATACAAATTATGAAAGAAAAAAGTAAGGAAAGTAAATAAAAGTAATATATATGTAAGTGAAAATGCAAATAAAAATAGAGAATAGAAAGAAAAGAAAGAAAAGAAAAAGAGACGTGGCTTCTGATCTTCTTAACAGCAGAGAATAAGGGCATTTATATCTTACCTTCTCTCTCTCTAAGGTTGCTGACAAGTTCCTTCCTTCCTTTTCATTATCAAATATATAAATAACAAGCTCATTTTTTTCATGTTTCAACAAAAAGTCCATAAGGGGTTTTCAGTCACTAATAAATGTAATTATTGTCCTTTCTCTAATCAAGAAAATCAGTTTTGCCATCTCTGCTAATCCTGTCATCTTCACAAGCCCTAACAGGGAGAAGTCATGCCAATCAAGGGTCCAGACAAGGATGGATACCTGCTCCCATTTCTTCAATCTGTACATTAATGATATCCTAAATGTCCTTCATTCACCTGACATGCTTATGCCTAAAATTAAAAATAAACATCTAAACATTCTGCTTTTTGCAGTTGTCATGCCTGGGCAGCAGAGGTGGGTTTCAGTAGGTTCTGACCAGTTCTGGAGAACCGGTAGCGGAAATTTTGAGTAGTTCAGAGAACCGGTAGTAAAAATTCTGACTGGCCCTGCCCCAGTGGTGGGATTCAATTTTTTTAACAACTGGTTCTGTGGGTGTGGCTTATTTGGGTGGGCCTGGCTTGAAGGTCATGTGACTGAGTGGGTGTGGCTAGCTGATCATGTGACTGGGTGGGCGTGGTCATGTGGCATCGCTTCTTTGCCCTAATGATAGTTTGCTGCAATGGTCATAAGTGTAAAAAAGCTCATTTTTCCAGTGCCATTGTAACTGTCAAGGATTATTTGTACAAAAATACAAAAAGCTGCTTTGCTTGCAAAAAGCTGCCCTAAATACCAATCATTAGATTAGAAATACCTGCAAACTGGAGTTACAAATCAGGGAGGGTGCCAGAGCACCTTGAGGAATTAAAATAGTTAAAATGCAATGATAACTATCAGCAGCCAACTCTTGCTCATAAAGTGAAACCCTTTAGCAGAGAGGTCATTTAAGCTCTCCAGAATGAAGCAAAGGAGCAAACAGAGTATCTGTTGCTTGTTAAACCAATTAGCAGAACAAATAGACACAGAACTAGTCAGATTTCAAAGCTGCTTCTTTTCAGGAACAGAGATTAACATTTTTCCTTCCAAACAAAGCTGAATAGGGAAAATTATCCCATCACTAAACACAGGTTTAAACTTCACCAAAAACCAGTTTTAGACCAAAAGTCAGAAAGGGTATGTCAACTCCCGTTTGAAGGTCAATCTTTCTAGCTAGCCAAGAAGCCTTGCTGAATGTTGGTTGGAACCATCTTGGTTCCTTGAAACAACCCTTCCCCTTTAAGAAAGTCAAGCATTTTAACTATTTTTGTTTTGTTTTGTTTTAATTTATATGCCGCCCTTCTCCGGAGACTCAGGGCGGCTTACAATGCGTTAAGCAATAGCCTTCATACTTTTGTATATTTATACAAAGTCATCTTATTGCCCCCACAATCTGGGTCCTCATTTCACCTACCTTTGAAAGGATGGAAGGCTGAGTCAACCTTGAGCCTGGTGAGATTTGAACTTGCAGTAATTGCAAGCAGCAGATGTTTATAACAGTGTGTACTGTACTACAGGCTCTTAATTCCTCAAGGTGCTCTGGCACTCTCCGATTTGTAACTCCAGTTTGCAGGTATTTCTAATCTAATGATTGGTATTTAGGGCAGCTTTTTGCAAGCAAAGCAGCTTTTTGTATTTTTGTACAAATAATCCTTGACAGTTACAATGGCACTGGAAAAAGTGACATGACCATTTTTCACACTTATGAGCAACAAACTATCATTAGGGCAAAGAAGCGATGCCACATGACCACCTGGCCACGCCCATCCAGTCACATGAAGCACCGCAGTTGTGAAATAAGTGACACGGTTGTTAAGAATGCTGCAACGGGCGTTTATTTATTTATTTATTTATTTTATTTCAAATTTATATACCGCACCTTCTCCCAAGGGACTCAGGGCGGTGTACAGCCAGATAAAAACATACAATACAAACATTAAGAACAATTAAAAGAATATATATTAATTTGGCCCCAGTTTAAAATGACAAACCAATTAAAAATTTAAAATTTAAAAATATGTTAAGCCAGCCCGGTTTGATGAAAAAAGAGTTTTAAGGGCACGGTGGAAGGCACCAAGATCTTGGATTCTCCTTATCTCAGGGGGCAGCTGGTTCCATAGGGTAGGTGCCCCCACAGAGAAGGCCCTCCCCCTGGGGGTCACCAACCTACATTGTTTGGCTGATGGCACCCCGAGGAGGCCCTCTCTGTGGGAGCGCATGGGTCGATGGGAGGTTGTCGGTAGCAGCAGGCGGTCTCAAAGATAACTAGGTCCTGTGCCATGGAGCGCTTTAAAGGTGGTAACCAACACCTTGAAGCGCACCTGGAAGACCACTGGGAGCCAGTGCAGCTCGTGCAGGAGCGGTGTTATGTGGGAGCGCCATGCAGCTCCCGTAATTACCCACGCGGCTGCATTCTGGACCAGTTGGAGCCTCCAGGTGCTCTTCAAGGGGAGCCCCAGTCAAAAGTGCGAGGACCTGTCAGAAATAACTTTTTTCAGCCCTCTGGGTAGTCCTTTTTTGCATATGGACTACTCAGAGGGCTGAAAAAGTTATTTTTGACTGGTCCTCGCACTGGTCCTCACATTTTATGTTTTGCCCTATCTTGTCACCATGGTGAAGAGAAGCAGTTGTGATATGAGTGACACGGTTGTTAAGAATGCTACAATGGGTATAAATGATCAGTCATAAATGCGAGGAACGGTGAAAAGTGCGAGGAACTGTCAGAAATCACTTTTTTCAGCCCTCTGGGTAGTGCCTATCTGCATATGGACTACTCAGAGGGCTGAAAAAGTTATTTTTGACTGGTCCTCGCACTTTTGACCAGTCCTTGCACTTATGACTGTCCTCACATTTTACGTTTTTTGCTGTATCTTGTCACCATGGTGAAGAGAAGCAGTTGTGAAATGAGTGACATGGTTGTTAAGAGTGCTGCAACGGGCATAAATGTGAGGATGATCATAAGTGTGAGGACCAGTCAAAAGTGTGAGGACCGGTCAGAAATGACTTTTTTCAGCCCTTTTTCAGCCCATGGCCATGGTCACTTGATCAGCTAGCCACGCCCACCCAGTTACATGACCTCCAAGCCACACCCACTGAAATAAACCACACCCACAGAACCAGTTGTTAAAAAAATTGAATCCCACCACTGTTTGACACCACTGCTGTATAGACAAAATAGGAAATGCAAATGTTATGTTATGTTAATTTTATTTATATACCGCCCTTCTCCTGAAGGGGCAGTGTACAGCCAATTTAAAAACATAAATATACAGACATCATTATTAAAAGTAATTAAAATCAATTAAATGTTTCGGCCAAATTTAAAACCCTGTTAAAACTCCAATTTAAAAACCACTTAAATAGACAGCCCCGCCTGTCGAAACAGTAGGGTCTTAAGGGCACAGCGAAAAACCCGGAGATCAAAGATTGTACGTATTTCCAGGGGCAGTTCATTCCAAATGGCAGGAGCTCCCACTGAGAAGGCTCTCCTCCTGGGTGTCGCCAGCCGGCATATTTTGGCCAACGGCACCTTGAGGACTCCCTCTCCGTGGGAGCGAACTGGTCAGTGGGAGGCTATTGGTGGCAGAAGGCAGTCCTGTAAATACCCTGGTCCTATGCCATGGAGTGCTTTAAAGGTAGTAACCAACATCCTGAATTGCACCCGGAAGACCACTGGGAGCCAGTGCAGCTCGCGCAGGAGGGGTGTTACATGTTACATAACCACCCGTGCGGCTGCATTCTGGATGAGTTGGAGCCTCCGTGTGCTCTTCAAGGGGAGCCCCATGTAGAGAGCATTAAAGTAGTCCAGTCGGGAGGTGACAAGGACGTGAGTGACCATGCATAGGGCGTCCCGGTCTAGAAAGCGACGCAACTGGCAGATCAGGCAAACCTGATAAAAAGCCCCCTGGCCACGGCCGTCATGTGCTCTTCTAAAGACAGCTGTGCATCTAGGAGGACACCCAGATTGCGAGCCCTCTCTGTGGGAGGCGAAGATTCACCCCCAATAGTCAGTGATGGCACCAGCTGACTATACCGGGACGCCGGAAGCCACAGTCACTCGGAAGGGTTGAGTCTGAGCCTGTTTCTCCCCTGCACAGCCTCCAGGCAGCGGGACATCACATCAAGGACAACTGAGTGTCATCAGCATACTGGTGGACTCCCACCCCAAAACCACGGATGATCTCACCCTGCGGCTTCACAGAAGGGGCGAGAGGACCAACCCCTGCGGCACCCCCAAGCGAGGTGCCTCGAGGTCAACCTCTGCCCCCCTGCCAAAACAAACTGCGAACGGTCGGAGAGGAAGGAGGAGAACCACTGTAACATGGTGCCTCCTATTTCTAACCCCCTCAACCACTGCAGCATGATACCATGGTCGGTATCAAAAGCCACTGAGAGATCTAATAGGACCAGCAACCCCTGTCCCGAGACCTCCAGAGATCATCAACCAATGCAACCAATGCCATTTCCGTGCTGCATCCCTGCCTGAAACCCGACTGGTACAGGTCTAGATAGACAGCTTCCTCCAGGTACTGGGGTAGCTGTTGTGCCATCACACTCTCAACAACCTTCGCTACAAAACGAAGGTTGGAGACCAGATGATAGTTTGCTAATATAGCAGGGTCCAGGGATGGCTTCTTAAGGAGGGGCCTCACCACCGCCTCTTTCAAGGCTGCGGGAAAAGGCACCCTCACTCAAAGAAGCATTTATAATCCCCTGGAGCCAGCCTCGTGTAACCTCCCAGGAGGCCAATACCAACCAGGAGGGACACGGGTCCAATAAGCATGAGGCGGCACTAAGCCTTCCCAGAATCCTGTCCACGTCCTCAGGAGTCACAGGGTCAAACTCTTCCCAGATAACATTCTCAAGACCAATGCCCGTCTCCCTCCCCAGACTCACCCAGTCGGAGTCCAAGCCTTCCCGAATCTGAGCGACTTTATCATGCAGGAATTGCACAAAATCCTCAGCTCAACCCTGCAAGGGATCTTCCCTCATTCCCCTCTGAAGAAGGAAGTGGGTCACCCTAAACAGAGGGGCTGGGTGGTTCTCTGCAGATGCAATAAGAGCGGAAAAATGGTTAGATTTTGCCGCTTTTATCGCCACTAGGTAGGTCTTGATATAAGACCTCACCTGTGTCCGGTCAGATTCAGATTGACTAGTCCTCCAGACGCTCTCTAGGCATCTTTTCCGACGCTTCATCTCTCTCAGCCCCTTGGAGAACCAAGGAGTCAATTGAGATCAGCATCGGGTCAGAGGCCGCAAAGGCACGACGCAATCCAAAGCTCCGGCGGCCGCACTATCCCAGGTGGCCACCAGGTCTTCAGTTGAGTCGTGTGCCAGGATCTCAGGAAACGGCCCAAGCTCCATCAGGATCCTTTCAGGGTCCATCAGGCGCCTGGGACCGAACCATGTAGTCGGTTCCATCTCCCTGTGGTGGGGGGAAGCGGCTTGAAAGTCCAAGTGAAGGAGGGAATGATCTGTCCATGACAAGGGTTTGATGTCTAAGTCCCCTCTACCAAGATCATTCAACCACTGACCAGAGATGAAAATCAAGCCCAGAGTGTGTCCCCCTGTGTGAGTGGAGCCTTGAACTAATTGGGTCAGGCCCATGGCCGTCATGAAGGCCATGAACTCCCGAGCCACCTCTGATGCCTCACCGGCAGATGGCAGGTTGAAATCCCCCATGACAATAAGTCTGGGGTATCCACCGCCACCCCGGCAATCACGTCGAGTAGCTCAGACAGGGTCGCTGCCACATGGCAGGGAGCCAGGTACATAGTCAACAAACCTATCTGCACCCCACAACCCCACTTCACAAAAAGGGACTCACATCTGGCTATCTGAGGAGCAGTGGCCTCCCTCGGACAAAGACTTTCCCTAATAATTGCCGCTACTCCCCCACCCCTCCCCTGAGCCCTCGGCTGATGAAATGCACGGAAACCTGGAGGGCACATTTCAACGAGGGGAACCCCCCCCTTGCCCAACCAGGTCTCCGTAATTCCTGCCAGGTCCGCACCCCCCTCCATAATAAGATCACAGATGAGGTGGGCTTTATTAACTACCGACCTGGCGTTACATAACATCAGCTGAGGACCCAGGGCCTGAGACTCTGTGCAACCCAGGACATGGGCCACGCCTTGGGGACCGGAGTGCACAATCGCTCGAAGACAGCGTGTGCGCACCCCCGTAACCTGATATGGCCCCCTGTGCCTGTCATACCTGCCCCTCCCACTTATTATTTCAATTGAACTGCCCTTCCTTTCGCACCCCGGCTCCCCGGTCAGATTACCCTCCTCAACCCTTCCGCTGCGCCCATCCAACCCACCACCCCGCACAGTGGCTATATGGACCCCTCAGGTCCATCTCTACAGCCCCCTCCCCCCTGGGTCCCCTTAAAAGCTTCCCTGCTACCCTTTTAAAAAAATCCCTCAACCCCCTTTTTTTCACATGCCGCCTCTCTGGGTCCCAAAACCCGTCATTGACCCCTCGATAATGTGGAGGGCCACGTCTGCGAGAGGGGGGAATCTCGCAGTGCAATTAGCTCCGCCGCCAAATACATCCACTGAAAGTCCAACAAGGAGCTGGCATCCGGGTGGGGTCCAATAAAAGTTCTGCAACAGAAGATGGAAAATCCATGTGGAAAAACAGCTGGCCTCCTCTGTTCTCTCACCCCAGTGGGAGTCTTAAGCCTTTGAGCACACCTGGAGAATCAATGTCCCAATCACCCTCTCATGGTGATGGTCAAATGGTTGTGACTTTAGAAAATTTGATGGTCCGCCTCCAGCCTTACAATAGCGTCCAGTGTCCAGAAGCCGGCTCCCTCAGCACCCACATGACTGTCCAGACCATATCAGTACATGGGTTCAATAAGAATAGAACATCACTTGTGGAGGTTCTATTCTAGATCAGTGGTGGCAAATCCTAGATCAGTGGTGGCGAACCTATGGAATGCGTGCCACAGGTGACACACGGAGCCCTCTCTGCAGGCACGCAAGCCGTCGCCTAGCTCAGCTCCACTGCGCATGCACATCCCGCCAGCCAGCTGATTTTCGGGTCTGCCCTGCAAGCGGCATGCTTGGGGAGTCCTACCTTTCTCCTCATTTTCTGCTGCCTGTGCCTTCCCAGATCTCCGGAGATTCCCCTCCCAGCGATGTTTTTGGAGGTGAGGCTTTTTTTCCTCCCCCCCACAGCCATTTTGGGAGGCAAAGGCTTTTTTCCCCCCTTCCCAGCCGTTTTGGAAGCTTCCCCCCCCTCCTTCCAGCCATTTCTGCTTGGGGGCAGGGAGATTGGGGCTGCTTCCGGTCTCTAAAAAACCATGTTTCTCCATTTCTCATCTAGGGAAATATAATATTTTGCCTTTTTAAATATTCCTCAAAATATTTCATTCTTCTAGGAAAATTCTTCCCATAAAGGTAAACCTGGGGAGTCAGCAGTAGAGAAACAGCTGAATGTTTTCATTCCCAAACTAGGAGCCCTCTCCTCTGCCTCAAAAAGGACAAAGCCCGTTAACTAAAACAGTAGAAGATTAAAAGAAGGAATAACTGAGCCTTTATAACAGCACAACACAACACAACTGCCTGCACTGATGCATGTATGGAGAAATGTTTGTGACTTTGTTGAGTTGTAGAGATTTAATGAAAGACGAAGAAGTGGATAAAAAAAATCTTTTTCTATGTGCCTGCGGCAGTGACTAATGGGAATGTGGTGAATGTTGTCCAAGAACAAGGGGAGGGCAGTGGGACAGGATGAGGCGGTTCCCACAACCTGTGTTAAAGTTACAAGAAGAAGCCGATGGGAAACTGAGTTGTGATTTGGCAGACTTAGATTTGAGTCCAGGCAGAGTTCAACAAACCTGCTCCTGGTCACTAGAGTCTCCGGAGGATGCCACATTCTTGCTTTTCTTCATGCTTTACCTGGCTTCGTGTAAAATTCCATCCCAATTCTCATCCTACCCTCAGTTTTCGATTTGGTTTGAAATATTTTTGGCACACACATACCACCCCAACCCCCAATGCTCCAGCCCCCGTCATCAATTGAATTTTACAAAAATTCAAAAGGGAACTGGAACCATTTCTAAAGGCAACATTTTACCATGAGTTTTATCCCACCCTTTGTATTTGATTTTGGCTTGAAATATATTTTGCTCCTCAGCCCCATGCTCCTACCCCAGCATCAGGAATTTTTCCAAAAATTGGCTTTTTCAGAAAGGGAACCTGGAAGCATTTCTAAGAGTAAAATTCCACCCTCAACCTCATCCCAACATCCATGGTCCTCTCCTCACCAGGAGATACAATTCTCTGTTGTGGCCCTATGGAAGTGCCCCTTTCCAGAGAGCCAGAGACCCCCAACTCTTTTGGCTTTCCAGAAGGTTGTGAAGATCTGCATTTTCTTCCAGGCATTAGAGCCAGATGCTAAAGGAGTCCAATATCTGTATTTTTGTATTGTGAATTTGTGCCTTGGCTATTGTGTTATTGTTATTTTTGTGAATATTTTTTTCTTGTGAAATGGTTGTTAGCAACTCAGAATAATTTATTTAAGGTGAACTACACCTATGCATTTCTGAATAAATAAATAAATCAAAGAAATCCAGATAGAGAGATGAACTAATCTGCATCATCTCCCTACCTAAGGTTTCTCCAGAATCTTCCCCAAAAGGGAAGTTTGAAGGTTGTCTGCATGCAGAGCTAGCTTCTTTAGGAGTACTACCTCTTCCTCAAGAATAATTAATCCCTCTCACCCTAATGGATGCCTGAAGGAGCAAATTTGAGTTATTTTATGCAAATCACAGTAGGAAAAGCCTGCAACCAGTGGCTTGAGCCATGACCCTGGACTTTCCCCCCAAAGCCTTCAGAGCATAGAAGTGCTGACCTTCCACTGCTCTCATTTCCCAGACAGGAGTTAATTCTAGCGTTTGGTGTTCCTCAGTCCTCAACCTCTACCACCAGTGCTCCAGGCATCTTGTCTGTGGTCATAGAATCATCAGGCTGGAAGGGACCTTGGACTTCTAGTCCAATCCCCTGCCCAAGGCAGGAGACCTTATTGCATCCCAATAAGGGATGCTCTCACCCCTCCAGTGATGGGAGCACCCACAACTCTGGGAGGCAAACCATTCTGTTGATCAGCTGTTCTCACTGTCAGGAAATTCCTCCTTAGTTCCATGTTGACTCTCTCCTTAATGAGTTCCTTCTTGTCCTGTCTTCAGATGCTCTGGAAAATAACTTGACCCCCTCTTCTCTGTGACAGTTCCTCATGTCGTTGCCCCCCCCCAATCTTTTTCTTTGATAGACCAGACATCCCTAGGTCCTCATATGGTTTAACTTCCAGACACTTTATTGTTTGTCTTTGTCTTTCTCTTTTCTCCCAGCTTTTCTCCCCAGCATTAGGATTTGTGCATTGTGATACAGGGAGTACTCTGGCCCAGTGGAAGTTGGGACTGCAATTTCCATCCCTAAATAATGTGGTAGTAAAGCGCAAAATCACATGATCACATCACTCAGTAGTGGCAATCACAGCGATTTCAGTTGCCGTGATAACCCCAGGGCTGCAGGGATCTTAACCAAGGAACTCCTGTGACCATCCCATGGGAAGAGGCAAGAGTCCCAGGCATGCAGACTGGTAGATGAGAGCTGCAGGGGAGAGCTACAGAGGTTGGAGGCGCTGCAGGCTGAGGGAACCAGGAGGGTGCCATGGGCAGGTACCATGGAGTACAAACAGGTGGGCAGCTACTATGGCCAGTGAGTGAAAATGCAATGGGAGCTTTGCAGGAAGTCAGCAGGGAGGGTCAAAAATGATTGTCATGTGACAACCATTGTAACCATTGCCTGATGGTTGCCAAGCACCTGAATGAGACCGCTGGGATATTGTGATAGTCTAGGACTGAGAGTGAGTGAGTGGCCCAAAGTCACCCAGGTGGCTTAGTGCCTAAGGCAGGACTAGAACTCACCGTCTCCTAGTTTCTAGCCTGGTGCCTCAACCACTACAACAAACTGGCTATATTCCAAATCTGACTGGCAAATGATTGCGATGCTTACTTCAGGTGTCATCTCTCTTTGACAAGGTTCTGAGTACAGAAGGAAGCTCTCTTTTCCATGGCAGAAACAAGATTGGTATTGGGAGGGCACCATTTAGTTCAGGGTACTTCCATTCTGAGCCTGACTGGCACATAGTAGTTCCCCAGCCTTGGGAGGCCACTTTTCATGCCTAGGTTTGATAAAGGGAGGAGGAAACAAGGATTTTTACACCATATTATCCCCACAAGAAAAGGAATGCCATTGTTATATCTTTTTTGTGAGCTGTTCTCTCTCTTTTGAAGCTACAACCTAGTGGATATAATTTCCTCTGGACACACCCAAGTATTGTCACAGGGCTGACCTCCAAAGTTACGCTTAATAAACTCTTCTGAGATTTCTAGGAAGCTCTTTCCTTTCGTCTCCGGGAGGAAAAACCAGACATAGAGAGCGGTTCCAACACAGACCATGAAGAATGGTAGGTAGCAGTAATAGCCAAGACTTTCCTGAGAGGAGGAGGAGGAGAGAAGAAAGGGATCAGCATATGAAGCACATGTTGACAGGAGCATGCAAGCAGAGCCAAAACTTGGCTGTAAAGTAGTCCTCGGAGTGGCCTCACTCTTAACAAAAGTGAGGCCTCCTTGCCTGTCCACCTGGAGGAGAAAGCAGCACCAATCTGCTAGGAGAGGAGATCCTTGGTCATGTGACTGTGTAGCAATTGTGACTACAAATGGATCTAGAACAGGAGGAACACCTAGAGTGTTGGGGAGGGGGGCTCCTTCTGCTTGAATCCACAGCTAGGACAATACTTTTCATTGATGGACAGAAAGGATCTCTGCCTAAGAACAACTCGCTCCAATTTCCCGTGTCCCATGTGAACTAACTGATGCCTTGCAGAAATATAAACAGAGAGCTTACCATCACAAAAGGAAATGCTAGGCCCACTAGAAATAAGTTGATCCAGAGCACAGAACCGCTGATTGTGTAAGCAGCCGGGCGGGCGACCTGATCAAAAATCTCCGTGGGTATAATTCCTGTCACACCAGCTAGAGAAATCATGCAAATTAAATGTTGCTTTCTAAGAAGTAAGATAAAAATATGGCAATATCAGCCCAGTTTCTGACCTTTCTGAGGTCATGTATGGTGGTTTTTTCATGCCCTTTTTGAGACCCTTGGTGCTCTTGTAACTCACCTGGTCCGATGCCAAAGCTCAGGATGTAGGCAAAGATGCAGGCCATGCTGAGATAAGGCATCCAGCTGAATTGGTCCTACAAGGCCAAAAGAGTGGTGGGGCAGATGGGGGGAAGGAGGGAAATAGGCAAATTAGGAAGTGTCCAACATGTGATCCTTACTAAATTGGAAGGCCTGGGGTCCTTCAACCCAAAGAAACAAAGTGCCATTCTTACCTGTAGAGATAACGCTACCATGAACAGGATGGCCCAGGTAGCCATGAGGCTGTATCCCCCTATGAGCAGCACCCGTCGCCCAACGCACTCGATGAGGAGGTTCTGGAAGGCAGCATTACAGGGAAACCCCTTAATGGGCAGCCCACTCAGGCCTTCCACAGAGAGATCTCCCCCTTCCCATTGAACAGATCAGTCTCCTCCCCTCCCCCATTGAACAGATACAAAAGAAATTTGGGGAGGTCAATAGACTTACTTTCTAGAGACTGACTGACTGAGTGATCATCTCTTTATTTTGGTCTGTACATTTTGGGATTAGAATAGCTCTAAGGAGTGCCATTTACTGAAAAGGATTTGGTTTTTACATGTCATATGGATAATGTGATCACCCAATTAAAAAAAAGGAACAGCACAATACACAGTCAACTTTAGTCTTTTAAAGAAGATACATGCAGCCCTTTGTAGATCCCAGGGCCCAACTGCTCAGGATCCCCCACAAAGGATTGGGAGCCTGCAATCCACAGAAATGCTGGTCCTGTAATATCATCAGTGTTAGTAAGGAATGGGGTTTGCTCTCAATTTATATTCTAGTGGTTTGCCCTATCAGTGTCGGTGGAAGTTGTCTTGGAGGTTCCTTGGTTGAACTGTTTACTGTTGGCTTATTTGACCGTTTCTTGTTTGGGGCATTGCTTACTTCTTGATTGTTGGTATGATGTTAATCTTGGGGTCAATCTATGCTCATCTGGGTGCTAATTGCTGATGGGGAAGTATTTTGGTCTTTTTGTTCCCTTTTTGTTGATTGCCTTTTTGCACAGTATGTAGATGTTGTACAATTCAATCTGAGTCAAGCACTGGGACCAAAGGTTTATTCTTCCAAGCTTTCGCAAGGGTTTATTCTCCCACGTGTATGTAGATGTTGTATATGCCTATGTGTCTATTGATGGCTAATTTGTCAGAGTGCCAGGCTTCTAGGAATTCTCTAGCATTTTGGGACATGGCTTGGTTTAGGATGGTCACTATTTCCCAGTTGAAACTATGGATAAATCTGTCCATATGTTGTGAGATTAAACAGTTTTCATTATGTCTTCTGACTACTAGTTGATATTCATGGATGTGTTCTGCTAGTTTTCTCCCTGGGATCTCAAAAATTGAGAGGAACCAAGCTTGCCCTAGCTGATATCAAAGATAAGCACTGTAGTGAAGGCTACAGTGGTTCTCAACCTTCCTAATGCCGCGACCCTTTAATACAGTTCCTCATGTTGTGGTGACCCCCAACCAGGGGTGGGTTCTAAATTTTTTTACTACAGGTTCTGTGGGCGTGGCTTATTTTGTGGGTGTGACTTGGAGGTCATGTGACTGGGTGGGTGTAGCTAGCTGGTCATGTGACCGGGTGGCCATGGCTATGTGTATAGGGACTACTCAGAGGGCTGAAAAAAGTCATTTCTGACAGGTCCTTGCACTTTTGACTGGTCCTCACACTTATGACCATCCTCACATTTATGCCCGTGCAGCTTTCTTAACAACTGTGTCACTAATTTCACAACTGCTTCTCTTCACCATGGTGACAAGATAGGGCAAAAATGTAAAATGTGAGGACAGTCGTAAGTACTAGGACTGGTCAAAAGTGCGAGGACCAGTCAAAAATAACTTTTTCAGCCCTTTGAGTAGTCCAAATGCACAAAAGGACTACCCAGAGGGCTGAAAAAAGTGATTTCTGACAGGTCCTTGCACTTTTGACCGGTCTTCGCACTTATGACTGGTCATCAGAGGGAGGAAGAGAGGAGGAGAAGGAGAAAGGAAGAGGAAGTAGGGAAGAGAAGAAGAGGGGGAGGAAGAGAAAGTAAGAAGGAAAGAAAAGAGAGAGGTGGTAGGTTTGAGGAGAAAGATTGCTGTACAATAAAAAAGATGAAAGGGAAGAAAGCCAACCCCAAACAAATATAAAGATATTAAGAGAAAGAATGAATTGTTAAACTTTAAGGAATAAAAGAGAATAAATATGAATAAATAACAATAATTAGAAACACACATACAAACATACAATGTATTTTCTTTTGTAGGAAGTTAGCACCCACCCCTTTCCTGGAAGAGTGAAATATTTTAGGAAATATGAAAAAGGCGGAATATTATATTTCCCTGGGATAAGCATGTTTTGAAGCAGCTCCCATCTTCCTGCCCCCACCCTTTGTCAATGGGCCATTAAGGCCTGGGCCAGTCTATTCTACATAACAAAGATCTACCTCCTTCAGGCAGAGCCATAGTAGGAATTGCACAAGATCCAATAAAGATAGGATCTTTACCCATCTAGCAACAGAAAGTCACCACATGTGACCTGGAAGCACATGTGACCATCAGCCAGCAAGGCTAGCTAAGATCCCCACCCCCTGGGAGTCTGACAACCAATCAGGATACTCTTTTGTGGCCCCAAGAAATGCAGAGCCAGAGAGAGCATAAAAACCTGAGGATTTACTGTATCTGCCCTTTTCTGTTCAGGAACTCAAGCCATGTGATCCTGTCCACCATTAAACCATCTTTCCAAGCAGTCTCCATGTTTCCAGTTTTTCCCCACTTGGAGCAGAACCTAGAAGGAGATTTCTTCCAACACTTTGAACAGAGTATTTGGCCGGTTCACAAATTTAAACAATGTTTAGTCATTTCAATTAAATTTACAATTTCTATATTTCCTTTTTGCCATATTTATTCCTCATCTATTTTGGTAAAAAACCAATATTACCCTTCATCCTCATCTCTAATCTTAATCAAATTCAATTTTTCCCTTCTATTCTATATTATGCCCCTTCCCATTGTCATCTATTTTTATATCCATCCTCACATTGGTTAATTATGTAATATTACAGTTGTTTAATATAAATTCAACATTTTAATATAAATCAATTAGTTATATAACTACCTTTTTTGTATATTAATATGAACATGAATATTCCAATTATTTCCATGCAATCCAATTTCTTACAAATCAATTAATTATATTTACCAATAATAATAAACCAAATAATTTCCCCCATATATTCCTCCAAACCACAACTTAACCATTTCTGCTTTCAACACAATATACAATTAATAGTATCTCAATTATTACAATTCCCTAGTTAAATAGAGCTTTTTTTCTTTTGTGTTTTAAAATCTTGAACTCTCCTCTTTTCCCCTAAATTTCCCATTGTTTGCACCTACCTTTTTTGGTGAGGAAAAAGAAAAGAAATCTGCCTGCCTAATTTTCCAACTTGCAGCAACAGCAAAGCCAACAGCCTCTTTACTTTCAGTTTTGTTTTTCAGCATAGCTAGGGGAAAAAAAAATCTGCTCGAGCAAGCAGCAGAGCCCTGAGCAAAACAGCTGAGAGCAAATCAGCTGAGAGTTGGGAGCCGATCTAATCAAGGGCTAATTAGCCTATGCTGAAGCTCCGCGGGCCAATAAAATTACAAAAAAACACCGAACCATTTGTTAAATTGCTGGCTCGCCCGCCCCTCGCCCACCACTATTTATTGGCAATAAATAGTGGTGCGGAGGGGCGGGGCAAGCCAGCAATTTAACAAACGGTTCGGCTGCACCACTGGCTATAGGGCGGCCCTTTGAAGCCCCGCGGCAAGAATTTAAACAGTTTTTTTTCCTCTAGCCATCAGCTGGGACTCAGGAGGCAGCAATAGATTGGGAGTGGGCGGGGTAAGCGAACGGCCGGCGATCCAACAGAGCAGAGAATGAGGGTGAGTGAAGGCGTGGGGGGGGGTGAGAGAGGGCTTTGGTGACCCCTGTGAAATGGCTGTTCGACCCCCAAAGGGGTCATGACCCCCCAGGTTGAGAACCGCTGTCATACAGGAACTGACAAGAATAGAGCTCCAATGCACCAGTCCCACCACCCGAAAGACTTCCCAGATTTAGCATAAATGACAACTATACACATAATTCTTTGGGATGACATGATGGGTCTCCTTCCTGCAGGGAATAGGTGAGAATCAGTGGAAGAAGGTGGGAAATTACAGGTAACAGAGAGAGAAGGGAGAACGATCCAAAGCAAATCCATGACTTCCATGCTGTGACAAAAGTGCCCTGGATACTACTCAAAAATGACAGGCAGCTCTGCAAAGGAGCAAGATTCCTTGTGATAGTCTAGAAGACCACACTGTACCCACAGTGGTGGGATTCAATTTTTTTAACAACCGGTTCTGTGGGGGTGGCTTATTTGGGTGGGCGTGGCTTGGAGGTCATGTGACTGGGTGGGCGTGGCTAGATGGTCATGTGACCGGGTGGCCATGGCTATGTGTATACTCAGAGGGCTGAAAAAAGTCATTTCTGACCGGTCCTCGCACTTTTGACTGTCCTTACACTTATGACCATCCTGACATTTATGCCCGTTGCAGCATTCTTAACAACCAGGTCACTCATTTCACAACTGCTTCTCTTCACCATGGTGACAAGGTAGGGCAAAAAACATAAAATGTGAGGATAGTCATAAGTGCAAGGACTGGTCAAAAGTGTGAGGACCGGTCAAAAATAACTTTTTCAGCCCTCTGAGGGCTGAAAAAAGTGATTTCTGACTGTTCCTCGCACTTTTGACCGTTCCTCGCATTTATGACTGGTCATCATTTATGCCCAGAATTGTTAAGAATTGTAGCATTCTTAACAACCGTGTCACTCATTTCACAACTGTGGTGCTTCATGTGACTGGGTGGGTGTGGCCAGGTGGTCATGTGGCATCTCTTCTTTGCCCTAATGACAGTTTGCTGCAATGGTCATAAGTCTGAAAAACGGTCATAAGTCACTTTTTCCAGTGCCATTGTAACTGTTGTAAATCAAGGATTACCTGTACAAAAATACAAAAACCTTCTTTGCTTGCAAAAAGCTGCCCTAAATACCAATCATTAGATTAGAAATACCTGCAAACTGGAGTTACAAATCAGGGAGGGTGCCAGAGCACCTTGAGGAATTAAAATAGTTAAAATGCACAAGGCACCTTTTGGACATGCCCGGCGGCAAATAAATTTTGGTCCAATATTAAGAAATGGCTAGAACAAATCACTAAACTACAAATAGATAAGAAACCTGAAACCTTTCTGTTAGGAACTTTCACAAAATTTTACCCCAAAGAAATATCATACTTGTTAATACATATTTTAACGGCAGCAAGGATAATATATGCCAAAAATTGGAAATTGGAAAAAACCCCAACGGAAGAAGAAATAATAGATAAAATCACACAATGTGCCGAAATAGACAGGCTGACAAAAGAGCTAAAGGAAAAAGAAGACACTGAATTTTATAAAGTCTGGAATAAATGGTATCAATGGCATAGGGCTACTAAGGAAGAAATATAACTAGAAGTCAGATAGAATAGAAGTACAAGTGTGCATATAATTACTTCCTTACTTCCTTATGGGCGAATAAACCTACAGAGAGAAACTCAGAAAGCGAAGGTATAATCTAAATATATAATATACAGATGGTTAAAGCAGAAGTCTTAGAGAGCAGAAGAGAGGAGAGGGAAAAAAGGCAATAAGAAACTATTAAGATTTAAGGGAATAAGTATAACTGTATTACTTGAAAGACCATTACAAAATAAACACTTCAAATGATTGATTATTTATAAATGTTTATTGTATAATGTATTTTTATGTTTTTGTCATATGTGTTTTATGTGTTTTATATCTGTTTTAATAAAGTTTATAAATTTTTATAAAATAAATAAATAAAATAGTTAAAATGCAATGATAACTATCAGCAGCCAACTCTTGCTCATAAAGTGAAACCCTTTAGCAGAGAGGTCATTTAAGCTCTCCAGAATGAAGCAAAGGAGCAAAGAGAGTATCTGTTGCTTGTTAAACCAATTACCAGAACAAATAGAACACAGAACTAGTCAGATTTCCAAAGCTGCTTCTTTTCAGGAACAGAGATTAACATTTTTCCTTCCAAACAAAGCTGAATAGGGAAAATTATCCCATCACTAAACACAGGTTTAAACTTCACCAAAAACCAGTTTTAGATTAAAAGTCAGAAAGGGTATGTAAACTCACGTTTGAATGTCAATCTTTCTAGCTAGCCAGGAAGCCTTGCTGAATGTCACTCATCTTGGTTCCTTGTCATTAAAAGCTTCTGCTTCGTTATTCAATTATTTCGTCAAAGTGCTGATCATTGCACCCTGGCTGGAAGAACTCCAACAGGGGAGTATTTCCTCCCAACAGTGGTGTAAAAAGCTTAAAACAACCCTTCCCCTTGTCAAGCAAAAAAAACCCTCTGAGAACCTCCGGAACCGGAAGTGACAGTAAGTCTAGGCATACTGCCAGAGAGGCAGTTTCTGTAAACAGGGCAATAAAGATTAGACTAGGAAACAATACTGAATGTTGTAATTCCTTACAGGACTAATCCTGTAAAGTGGGAAAAAACAAAACGATATTTCTTTTAACAACCGGTTCTCCAAACTGCTTAACTACTTAACAACCGGTTCTACTGAACCGGTGTAAACCGGTAGAATCCCAGCACTGTGTACCCAATGTGAAAGAAAGGAGATAAAATTCTCACACAAGTCATGGACATGATAAGCTCACAACTCCCGGTGCCAATAACGCTGTACTGGATCTTGTCATATGGAATCCCTGCCTCTTGGAACACATATGAGGCGTAGGAGTACATCTGCAGGAATAAAGAAAGAGCAAGTATCTTTGTATCCCTGCTTTACTGAGCCCCTATTTTTTTATTACTATGTAAAGGAGAGGCGGTTAATCTGTTTATCTGAGATAGGAAAGTCATGAAAATGTTCATGTAAAGCAGAGGTGGGTTTCAGCAGGTTCTTACCAGTTCTGGAGAACCGGTAGCAGAAATTTTGAGTAGTTCAGAGAACCGATAGTAAAAATTCTGACTGGCCCCGCCCCCATCTATTCCCTGCCTCCCAAGTCCCAGCTGATCAGAAAGAAATGGAGATTTTACAGTAATCTTCCCCTGGAGTGGGGTGGGAATGGAGATTTTACAGTATCTTTCTCCTGCCACACCCACCAAGCCATGCCCACCAAGCCATGCCACACCCAGCAAGCCACACCCACAGAACCGATAGTAAAAAATTTTGAAACCCACCACTGATGTAAAGCATAAAAAGCCATATCACAATTTAAGCAGCAAAGAAAAATCTCCCAACTCTCTCTGAAACTCAACTCAAAAAATGATGACAGAGGATGCCAAAATAGCATACATTTTAGTATGCTATTTGGATTGTGCCAGCGGTCTCCTAAAGGAGAAGCCACCTGTCCCCTTCTCAGTTCCCAGGCCTATTGGAAAAAAGGCATGCAGGATAGCAGTGGACAACCCCCTGGCCAGGCTGCTGGACTTACGGAATCATTGCCACAGAGCTGCATGGCACTGCTGAGCACCACCACAGTGATAAACTGCCAACGGACAGCCCGGTTCCTCCATAGCTCCCAGGGTGCCTTGGCCACCTGTCCCTGGAGGGCTGCCTGCTCTGCCAGGATTTCTTTCATCTCGCTGCTCAGGTCGCTGCTGCCCCTCAGTTGTTGCAAAGCTGCAAGAAGCCAAAAGTAAGCCTGAGGTTCTTGGGAAATGTGGAGGCCTCCAATTCATGGGTTGCCTTAGAATTTCTCAACATGTTCCAACCTGCTTCGAGAAAAGCAGAGCAGGTACAACAACCACACAGCATCTTATGGCAGAAACATCAGCAGCTAAGTAGCATTTGAATGTCTGGGTCACAGATTCCACTGTTTACTCCAGATGGGACCAGATTCCTCACATAAAGTTCCCTTTGGGAAAAAGCATCACTTCTACAAGGATTACTGTAATCCCCACAGGACCTAAAATGGCCTCATGTAATGAGTCTGATTTTCCCTACAACTCTATTGCAGGTTCAGAAGTATTTTACGAGAAAAGTCTCATACTCTTCTGTACTCATAGGCTCTTCTGTAGCCTATGCTACTAGGCTCGAAATTCTCAGTTTGGATAACTTAGAACTGTGTCGCTTGTGGTCACACCTAGGTATTACATACAAAATTATCGTATTTTTCGGAGTATAAGACGCACCGGAGTATAAGATGCACCTACCTTTTTTGGTTGCTTTTTTTAAAAGTTTTTTTTTATTTTTTTTTATTTATTTTTTAGATAAACACACATACAAACATACAAGAGGGCCTGGTGGCTCAGCAGACTGATAGCATTGTGATTAACACCAGCTGTCTGCAATTACTGTAAGTTCGAATCTCACCAGGCTCAAGGTTGACTCAGCCTTCCATCCTTTCTAAGGTAGGTAAATTGAGGACCCAGTTTGTGGGGGCAATAAGCTGACTTTGTATGACAAAAGTATGAAGGCTATTGCTTAACGCATTGTAAGCCGCCCATTGTAAGCTGAAGGGCGGCATATAAATCAAATTAAAAAAAAAAAGTATTAACTTTGAACAGAGTATTTGGCTGGTTCACAAATTTAAACAGTGTTTAGTCATTTCAATTAAATTTACAGTTTCTATATTTCCTTTTTGCCATATTTATTCCTCAACTATTTTTTTAAAAAAAAAACATATTATCCTTCATTGTCATCTCTAATCTTAATCAAATTCAATTTTTCCCTTCTATTCTATATTATACCCCTTCCCATTGTCATCTATTTTTATATCCATCCTCACACTGGTTAATTATTTAATATTACAGTTGTTTAATATAAATTCAACATTTTAATATAAATCAATTAGTTATATAACTATCTTTTTTGTATATTAATCAATATGAACATGAATATTCCAATTATTTCCATGCAATCCAATTTCTTACAAATCAATTAATTATATTTACCAATAATAATAAACCAAATAATTTTCCCCATATATTCCTCCAAACCACAACTTAACCATTTCTGCTTTCAATACAATATACAATTAATAGTATCTCAATTATTACAATTCCCTAGTTAAATAGAGCTTTTTTTCTTTTGTTTTAAAATCTTGAACTCCTCTTTTTCCCTAAATTTCCCATTGTTTGCACCTACCTTTTTTGGTGAGGAAAAAGAAAATCTCTCTCTGCCTCATTTTGTCACGTTGCAGCAAAGAACCTGCTTTACTTTTAGTTTCGTTTTTTCAGCATTACTCCGTATTACGGAGACCTGGTTGGGCCCGGAGGGCGGCATCCCTCTGATTGAAATGTGCCCACCGGGCTTCAGAGCATTCCATCAGCCAGGGGAGGGGCGGGGGGGTGGCGGTTATTATTAACGAGGATCTGGGTCCGAGGGAGACCACTGTGCCTCAGATAGCCGGATGTGAGTCCCTCCTTGTGAGGTGGGGCCGTGGGGTTCAGATGGGCTTGCTGCTTACGTACCTGGCTCCCTGCCGCGTGGCAACAGCCCTACCTGAGCTACTCGACATGATAGCCACGGTGGCAGTAGATACACCCAGGCTTTTAGTCATGGGTGATTTCAACTTGCCATCCGTTGGTGAAATGTCTGAGGTGGCTCGGGAGTTCATGGCTTCCATGACGGCCATGGACCTGACCCAGTTAGTTCATGGCCCTACTCACAGGGGAGGTCACACTCTGGACTTGATTTTTGTCTCTGGCCAGTGGTTGAGTGGTCTTGTTATAGGGGATATAGACATGGAACCCTTGTCATGGACTGACCACTCACTCCTTCGCCTAGATCTTCGAACCGTGACCTCTCGCCACAGGGAGGCGGACCCAATTAGATGGATCCGCCCCGGGTGCCTGATGGATCCTGATAGGTTCCAGACGGAGCTTGGGCCATTTCCTGAGGATCTAGCACATGACTTGGCCGAGGACCTGGTAGCCGCCTGGGATCGGGCGGCTGGTGGGGCCTTGGACCGAGTCGTGCCTTTGCGGCCTCTGACCCTGTGCCGATCCCGTGCGGCTCCTTGGTTTACTGAGGAGCTGAGGGAAATGAAGTGCCAAAAAAGACGCCTGGAGAGCGGTTGGAGGGCCAGTCTCGCTGAATCTGATCGAACACTGGTAAGGTCGCATATTAAGGCCTACCTAGTGGCGATAAAGACGGCAAAGTTTAACTACTTTTCCGCCTCTATTGAATCATCAGGGAATCGTCCAGCTGCCCTGTTTAGGGTGACCCGCTCCCTGCTCCATCCGGGAGTGCGGGAGGATCCCTTAGAAGGCAGGGCGGAGGATTTCGGACAATACCTGTATGATAAAATCACTCAGATCCGGGGGGATTTGGACTCTGACTGAGTAGATCAGGGCAGGGTGACGAGGAATAGTCTTGAGAATGTTACCTGGGAGGAGTTTGATGCTGTGACTCTCGATGATGTGGACAGGATTTTGGGGAGACTTAGTGCGGCCACATGTTTACTGGACCCGTGTCCCTCCTGGTTGGTACTGGCTTCCCGGGAGGTTACACGAGGCTGGCTCCAGGGCGTTATTAATGCTTCGTTGAGTGAGGGTCACTTCCCCGCTGCCGTGAAAGAGGCGGTGGTGAGGCCTCTCCTCAAGAAGCCGTCCCTGGATCCGGCAATATTGGCCAACTACCGTCCTGTCTCCAACCTTCGCTTTATGGTGAAGGTTGTTGAGAGTGTGGTCGCGCGACAGTTTCCACAATTCCTGGAGGAAACATCTTATCTTATCTAGATCCGTTCCAGTCGGGTTTCAGGTCTGGGCACAGCACGGAAATGGCATTGGTCGCATTGGTTGATGATCTCTGGAGGGCTCGGGACAGGGGTTGTTCCTCTGTTCTGGTCCTGTTAGATCTCTCAGCAGCTTTTGATACCATCGACCATGGTATCATGCTGCACTGGCTGGAAGAGTTGGGGGTAGTTGCGGTGGTTCTCCTCCTTTCTCTCCGACCGGTTGCAGTTTGTGTTGGCAGGGGGGCAGAGGTCGATCTCGAGGCCTCTCATCTGTGGAATGCCGCAGGGATCGGTCCTCTCGCCCCTTCTGTTCAACATTTATGTGAAGCCGCTGGGTGAGATCATCCGTGGCTTCGGGGTGAGATACCATCAGTACGCTGATGACACCCAGCTGTACATCTCCACCCCAGGCAACTCCAACGATGCCCTTGAAGTGATGTCCCAGTGCCTGGAGGCTGTGCGGATCTGGATGGGGAGGAACAGGCTCAAACTCAACCCTTCCAAGACAGAGTGGCTGTGGCTCCCGGCATCCCGATATAGCCAGTTGACTCCATCACTGACTATTGGGGGCGAGTCTTTGGCCCCCACTGAAAGGGCTCGCAATCTGGGAGTCCTCTTGGATATGCAGCTGTCCTTGGAGGAACATCTGACAGCTGTAACCAGGGGGACCTTTTGTCAGGTTCGACTGATTTGCCAGTTGCAGCCCTTTCTTGATCGGGATTCCTTGTGCACAGTCACTCATGCCCTCGTCACCTCTCGCCTTGACTACTGCAACGCTCTCTACATGGGGCTCCCCTTGAAGAGCACCCGGAGGCTCCAACTGGTCCAGAATGCAGCAGCGCGGGTAGTGATGGGAGCAACATGGCGCTCCCATGTAACACCGCTCCTGCGCGAGCTGCACTGGCTCCCGGTGGTCTTCCCGGTGCACTTCAAGGTGTTGGTCATCACCTTTAAAGTGCTCCATGGCATAGGGCCTAGCTATCTGCAAGACCGCCTGCTGCTACCGACGACCTCCCATTAACCCGTGCGCTCCCACAGAGAGGGCCTCCTCAGGGTGCCATCAGCCAAACAATGTAGGCTGGTGACCCCCAGGGGGACGGCCTTCTCTGTGGGGGCTCCTACCCTCTGGAATCAGTTGCCCCCTGAGATAAGGAGAATCCATGACCTCAGTGCCTTCCGTCGTGCCCTTAAAACCCATCTTTTCCTACTCCCGAAGGACTCAGGGCGGTGAACAGCCAACAATAAAATACATACATACAAAATTTAAAAAGCAGAAATAAAATCAAATTAAATAGTTTGGCCCAGACAGATTAAAACCCCAATCAATTTAAAACAAATTTAGACTTTGAGTATTAAAAATATTAAAAATATTAAAATATTAAAATTGTTTTTAAAAAGGGAGAAAGTTAGGCCAGGCCCGCCTGGTGAAATAAAAAGGTCTTTAGAGCGCGGCGGAAGGTGCGCAGATCCGGGATCCTCCGTATCTCCAGGGGGAGCTCGTTCCAGATAGTAGGTGTCCCCACAGAGAAGGCTCTCCCCCTGGGGGCCGCCAGTCGACATTGTTTGGTCAACAGCACCCGGAGGAGCCCCTCTCTATGAGAGCGTACCGGCCGGTGGGAGGCTATTGGTGGTAGTAGGCAGTCCCACAAGTACCCAGGTCCTGAGCCATGGAGCGCTTTAAAGGTTGTAACCAAAACTTTTTTTTATTTATCTTTTTTTTAATTTATTTTTTTTATTGAAAAGTTTTACAAAAAAGAAATACAAAAATCCCCCCCCATGTTCCCCCACCCTTTCCCCCCTTCATCCCCCCTCCCCCCGACTTCCCAGAGCAAAATACAAGGTATTTCATTTAATCAAACATAAACTAGATTAATCTGCTTATCCTCAAAGTACTGCCTCCCCCACTGAAACCTTAACTCCACTACAGATAACCAAATACTTCTAATACTAACATTCATTCATAAGCTATTTGAAATTTTCTTGTCTGATACTTA